CAAATTTTATTTAAATAGTATTTACTAACTTTTGACTTTGAAAATAATAAGATATGTTAAGTAGTTCAAACAACCATCAACAACCATTTTATTATAATCATATTTATTATTTTAATCCTTAAATCATATTTAAAGATATAAATAATAATTGGATAATAAATCTTGAGAATCTTTCTCAAGACTTTATTATTATATCATTTTCCCAATATTATAATAATCATATTATTATTATTTTGGATTTTTGAAATTTAAAATCCTATTTTAAAATTCAACTTTATTAATTTAGTAATTACCTTAATTACTAAAGTAATATCCAAAATGTAATTAATCAATCTTATTGATTAATATATTCCTTTAATTGATATCTAATCAAATTAGATATTTATCAATTAATTCTAACCATTAGAAATACAATCTTTACCTTTGTTCATAATTAGTGTGACCTTTTAGGTTCACCTTAATACTAGTAGTGGGTTTACAACACTTTGTAATTTGAGTTAAATCTTATTAACTCTTATTCATGAATTAACCCTTTAATTTATGAACCCACATATCATGGTAACACCTAGCAAGTAGCATGAATCTAGTATTAAGTGAATAGCGAGTAAACCTATTCCGATTACAACTCCATACATGTAAAATCCTTTCGACATCTAATTTCCCGATTAAGTCTTGGGTATGATTTTGTCGAAACCCAAATTGACTTAATAACTATGATTCTATTTCATGTTTATTAACCCGGTTATGAATCACTATTCATCTCTGCCTTGGCCAAGGACTTTGGATTAATAACTATGAAACACATAGGAAATTCACTTATCTTCATAAGTGTCGAATCCTTTATTGGCCACTAACAAACTTCCATACATATTAACATAATACCCAACTTATCCCTTTAAACGATAGTGCTAGCTACCAAAAGGATAAATCAAAGTAGAATGTAATATGCACAAAGTTACCATTGTGCCTCAAGTCTTAGGATTAGTCATGTACTATTGTAACATGAAAATTCTTATTCGACTGAATAAATTCTTCATTAAGAATTTTCATACGGTCATGTTCAGTGAACTTGTTCTCTAACAAGCACCCACATAAATGTACTTACGTCTTACGCTAATGTTGATTGAATGCAACATTCTTGTCCAACAAGCATACAAACTATGTGCAAGTCTTTTATGAATTATTCGATATCCCATCTCGAAACATCCATCGACTTGGAACTGTATTTAAGATCACGGCTTTCAAGGTATGTTCCATGATCACCATCTCTATGCGCAACCATACCTTATAACCATAAGTGATCTAAGGATTTTATCTTAAGTGCAATTATAAGATAAATGCTTTCTCTTAAGATAAAGAAATGCCTTATTCATAATATAATTCCAATAGACTGTATTTACAAGTAGAATACGTCCAATTTGATTGGAACGCCGGGTACCCTACTCTAACAGAATGAACCTTGGGAGGCTGCTTTGACATACGATGAAAAACTCGACCTCATTATTGCTCGTATGTCTGCCCAAACCACTCGAGATGAGGAGATTAAGCTCGGATGTGCTCGACTGAGCACACAAATGGAGATTCTTACAGCACATATCGATTCAATCGAGGCACAAGTCGACGACCCCCACTTTATGCGTGATACTCAAGATCGTATGTTGAAGCAAATGTATGAGGCCGAAGAAGAAGATGATGAGATCCAGCGAGACGTTGATGATATCTCAGAGGAGGAGATCCATGGTCTTGATTCTCAAGTCCCTTCCCCCACCTCCGAGTCGGAGCATCAGTCTTCTAGGCCGTTGCATTGTGTCAAGAAGTGGGTAGGATTCAGTTCTACTTGCTCCACAGATGTGCTCATAGCTCCGGAGGTTAACTCCAGAGCTCAGGTGGGAAAAACTCTACGCCTAGAATTGGGCATTACCCGTGCCTGAACTCGCTTCACCCAGAACATAGCCACCCGGATCCATCATACCTGCCTTCTTGCCACACTGCCCGAGCTACCGCTTCTTGAGAATACAAAGGCGTGGCATGATCGCCACTTCTTTTTGGACCCTGTCTGAGTTCCTCACAGGTTTCGTCAAGCTAATGACATTAAATAAGCGCTTCTTGGGAGGCAACCCAAGTGATTTACTGCTTTCTTAGTTATTTTCTTTTTGCTTTTTTTGTTTTATCCTTGAATAATGGGAGTTTCGGAGTATTGTGTTTTTCTTAGCAGGTACGAGTTACAATCTCTAGCAGAAGGATTGAGTTGAATGAGGAGTATCGAGGTTCTGGGTTGAGCGTGGGCTAACAGCTTGCACGTGAATGTTTATTTCCCTCGACGCTACTTCGGTTGGCACACCTTTTCTCTTTTTATATTTGTGAGGTTGTTTTGTGTGTTTTCTTTTGAGTTTTGTGTTCTTGTGTTAGTTGCTAATATTGGTTCATGATGTGAAATTGCTATGTCCAGTTATTTGACTTCCTGATTATGTGTTGAAGCAATTAGGACATTGCCACATTTTAAGTGTGGGGGAGTTTACTTGGATTTTTGCATGCTTATGTGGTGGACCGGTATAGTTTAGGTTTTGTATTGTTGAGCATGTGGTATTGGTGAATTATATGATTTGTTGATGAATGTTTGATGAAACTGGGAAGTTGTGATGACGGACGTATTGGTCATTGCCTCGGTATTTGCTTGATTGCTTTGAGTCACATTTATCTGCCTTGTGAGGTTTGATCCTTACTCTTCTTTCTTGTGAAATATTGGTCATATTCATGAATGATTAGAACTTTCCTTGAGTTTTTTTGAAAGGAATCAATTGAGTTTGAAATTGCGAATATGATTTAGGCGTTTTGTTTGTTAGCTCATTTTGCCTTGTTCTTGATCCCAAAAATAATTTCCACTAGTTGCCCGTTTGAGCTTTGAGCCTTTTTTCTTGTCAGCCGTAGATGAAATGTATTTTGTTGACTGATTTGGTGATGATTGGTGAAAATAGTGTCGTTGTTCAATGAGGTGATTGGAGTTAGACCTATATATATATAGAAAAAAAAAGAACATTAAAAAATAGAGCTCACAAGACGAATCAAATGGATTCTGCTCCTCCTACTAGTCGATTCATGTCGACGGGTAATGAACATTGGGAAACTACTGTAGGGCACTTGGATGACCTCCAATGTTCACACCTACAGAATGTTGTCTTTTTTATTCGATCTTCCTCGGAAAAAGTAACTCTCTAATCAAAACTAAAAAAAATAAAATAAAAAATAACAATAAAAAAAGAGGGTCAAGTGATGAAGTACAACTTGATTTGAGCATTTAGGTGGTGTTGTGGAGTTGTTGTTGGAAGGTATGTGTGCTATTTTGTCGATTTCGGATGAGTAGCAGACATTCGAGTAGTCTATTACGCGAGAACTTTGATTGTTTATCTGAGCTTCTTATCTATATATATCCTTACCTTAACCTAAAGCCTACATTACAACCCGTGAAGTCCTCTTGATTCGCAACTCTTGAGCTTTGATTGTTTTCAAGTAATTTAAACGATTCGCAAGCATATGTTGAAACTTGAATATTGACCAATTTGAGCGAACCTATCATATATTGATGTAAGAAAATGAGTAAGGCGTATATGGTAATCTATGTTTTGAGAGTTTTGTGATTTCAAGGCCAAGTTGATATTTGAGGCATATGGTCGTACAGTCGTTGGAATTCGACCCGATTGAGGTGGGCATTTTGAGGACCTTCTTATTTGAAACCTTATCCATGCTCGTGTCTTATTTTGTTTTCTTTTTGTGCGGGACGAACAAAGGTTTAAGTGTAGGGGAGTTGTTTGTCCTATTTTTGTCGCATTTTTCGTTATGGTTTTGTCTTTATTTTTCTCCCGTATTAGGTCTTTTCGTTGGTTTTTATTCGTTTTTGTAGTTTATTGTGTGTTTTGCTATGTTTTGGTCTTCTATGGGTTTTTTGTGTGTTTTTCCTGTTTTTCTTCGTTTTTGGTGTGCAGGTCGGAAGCTTCGGGAGGACTGGATTTTGGACAAAAGTGTACTGTGCAAGCATAATCAATTACAGTGCTTCGTTGGCGATGAACAGGAAAAAGCGGAACTCAATTTCGAGTTCGGACGAGCTCGAACGGGCCCAAAATGCGAAGTCGCGTGAACCACGTCTTTGGTGTGCTGGTCATAAGCTTTGGGAGAATAGGATTCCAAGAATAATTTGGTAATACAGGCATCATTAATAGAAGTGTTCGTTGGCTACAAGTAGGAAAAAACGGAACTCAATTCTGAGTTCGGACGAGCTCAAATGAACCTAAAACGCAAAGTCGCGCAGCCCAAACCTTAGCGATGCTAACCCCTGCGCGACCAGATTTTTATTAATCTTGATTTTGCTAATTTTTTCAAGCCCCATTCATTGGGACTCATTCCCAACCATAGAAAAATACCTCCACACCCGTTTTTATCAGTTTTTTCACCGTAAAACACTTGAATCTTCATCATGGATTGATCTTAGACAGTGACACTTCAAGGTTTGTTTTCTTGTTTTTTGGGTTTGCTTGTACTTTGGATTCGACCTTGGCTTCTATATTAATCGTAAGCATTAATTGTCGTTTAATCTATGGAATTGATGATATGTGTTGATATGGTGCTTTGTGTTGAATTCATTATGCATAGCCAAATTCAATTGCTAGAGATAAGCATATAATTGTTCTTGTTCGTTCGTATTTGTCAGGCCTTGATTTGTTCAACTTCATGTTAGTTGTTTTAAAAAGGAGTTTCTAATTTTCATGCTTGAATGTTGAATGTTGTTGAAGAGTGACATCTCTACATGAAATTGATATTCAACTGAACATGATTCATTCGGGTTTGATGTTGCTAATTCTTAAAGATTAGTCGGTTAACCATCTTCTAATTTAATTAAGCAACTTTTAGAACCTAAAGGGAGAAGTTGTAGACCTAGGCTCGCATGAGATATATGATTTCATAATTGAATAGTCTATGGGTTTTTAGATTGAAATACATGCTCGTCGATGTCCCTTCCCTTGTTACGAGAGTTATTGGGATTGGATACTTGGCCGGAGTTGTATGCTCGAACTTGTTCATCTATGTTCAGTCCTTTGTTACGAAAGTTATTGGGAGCGAACCGCTAGATGTTGAGGCGAGAGCGTCAATCTTGAATCGAACAATTAATTGCCCGACTTTGCGTCTAGAACTAGAATTAATTATCCCCTACTCCCTAGCTTCTCCATCGTTATCTAATTCTTATTTTAGGTTGATTCATGTTTTTGCATTATTTTATATTTCTTAGTTGATAATACCAATTCATCTTGATTAGAATGTTTAGGATTTCTTTGCTTTTTGTGTGTGTTCGACACCAAATCTAGATTCCAAACCGCCTTCCTCGAGAGATCGACCCGAGGTCGGGAGTCATCCCGTACTCGGTAAAAATATAATTTGCTACAACAACCTATACAACTTACTATGCTCAGAATGGGTTTCAATGCTCAATTTGTCAAGTGGATAATGTCTTGCATTCAATTTCCCTCATAAAATTTAAATGGCAGAACTTGTGGCTTGGTCAATGCATCTAGAGGGATAAGACAAGAGGACCCATTGTCCCCTTATCTTTTCCTTATTATTTCTGAGTTACTTTCTGCTTTAATCAAATCTGAGACAGAAAAGGGCTATTTTCATGGCATTAGACTGGCAAAGGAAGGACCTCTGTTAACCCCTCTTATGTTTGTCGATGATACATTGTTGTTTTGTGAAGCTGAGGAAAGGCAGGTGGACAGGATCCTTAATAATTTTGCAGGTGTATAAGACTTTTACAGGACAAGAGGTGAATCTGACCAAATCTTCAGTTTTCTTTAGCAGAAACTCTTCTTTGAGATTGCAGGAGAGAGTGTGTTCTATGTTGCATGGCATTCAGACTCATTCATCCACCAGATATCTAGGACTACCTATGGGGTTAGACAGGTCCAAAAAGAAGGCTTTTGAGTACATTTTGACTGTGGTGAAGAAGAGAGTTCTTAACTGGAAGAATAAGTGGCTATCTACAGCTGGGAAGAAAACTCTTATTAAAGCTGTTATTATTGCTCTACCAGTTTATGCAATGTCTTGTTTTGTCTTGCCAGTGGGTCTTTGCAAGAAGATTTCAAGTGCGTGTTGTCAGTTCTGGTGGAGTAAAAGTGCTGAGCAAAAAAGAGGCTTTCCATGGGTGGCTTGGGACAAGCTGACTCTCTCAAAAAAGCATGAAGGGTTAGGATTTCAGGATGTCCAACTCTTTAACACAACCCGTATTGCAAAACAGATTTGGAAACTTGTCTCTGATCCTGATTCTTTGGCCAGCAGAGTTCTTAAGACTAAGTGTTTCTCAACTCCACCATTTTTTAAGCCCAGAAGAAATCCAACTCCTCCTAGTTGTAGAATAACTGGATTTTTGTTTTACAAAAGTGTGGGAAACGGCTGCCGATTGAGATTAGGATTGGCAAGAGGACAAGGATCTGGGATGAACATTGGATTCCCAACAGAATGGGCTTACCTGTGGAACTACTACCTGGAGTTGACAGAGGCATTAACTGGGTGAGTGGCCTAATGGCTGAGGATGGTGTGGGCTGGGATGAAGTTAAAATCAGAAGAACTTTTCCTCCTGATATTTGTGCTCAAATACTTAGCATCAGGACTTTGAATTCCCAGCAGGAAGATAGGTGGAAGTGGAACCTTCACAAAAAAAGCTATATTCACTGTCCATTCTACATACTCAAAGCTTATTTTTGACAGATTCTTGTGGTTTGATCAACCTCAAGGAAGTTCTGACTTTGCTAGAGATGTTAAGGTTTGGAACAGGAGTTAGAGCTTAAAAGTCATGGGGAAAGTGAAACATTTCATATGAAATGTTGCAATAACTCATTACCTGTTTGTTAATCTGCCAAAGAGAGGCATTGTACTTGATACCATTTGCAGGTTGTGTGGTGAGGCAACAGAAACCACTGAGCATATTCTTTTTCATTGTGACTTAGCAAAACAAAGATGGGAAATTGCACCAGTCAATTGGGATGGCCATCATCAGCAAGGCTCCTTTAAACAGTGGTGGTGGGATGTGTGCCAATTGGATAAGTCATGCATTTCTGAAGCCCGAATACAACTCTCAACGTATATCTTATGGTGACTTTGAAAATCTCGCAACCTTTGGTTGTTCGAAAGAGTTAGGAGGCCTGCCCGATCTATTGTCCAAGCAGCTATTCGAGATTGGCAAGGCTTTTTGGCGAGTAGAGTGGCTCAGGCCTGTTCTTATTCCCTTATAGTTTAGCTTTTGTATGTTCGTGTTTGTATTGTAGTTGTGATGGGTGTGTGTAGTGGGTTGGTTTTTTCTTTTTGCTAACTGTCTACTGTGGAGTAAAGGCTCAGTGGCATGTCACTGCTTTACCCCGGTTTTTTCTTTGTGTTCGGTTTCTAAGTCACCGGTGTGTGGTTCTCTCATTCGATACTTTGTATTTTTTCTTGTTCTATGCCATGAGTTTTCTATGGTTGGAAAAAAAATATATCCTATTCCATTAAGAAGAATTGAAATGAAAATGAAAACATAAAATTTCGTTGCAGCACACGTGGGCCCAACATCATGAGTATCTCCACTCCACCAACATATTTGCCACCCACGCGCCCATTACATACTCGAATCAAATGTTCTTTCTTTTACTCCCAACACAAGTACTCTTTTCCTTGTCTCTCTTTCTATCTTCTCTCTGATCGGCTTACTTGGAGGTAGCGGCACGGCGGCCAAGGTTGAAATGGCGAGGAAGGAAGCTGAGCTGGAATTGGGTTTGGGGTTGAGTCTCGGCGGCGGCTCGGCAAAGGACTACAGCCGGATATTGACTGCAGAGGATTTTCCCAATGGGTTTACATCTGGTGCAGTTGGTGCAGGGACTAAACGGGAAAGATCAGATGGCGTTGACGACGGGTCTACTGCTGCTGCTGTCAGGTTAGATTCATGTGTGTGTCCTTTCTTTTTCCTTTTGTCTCTCTATTTTTAGTTTTTATTTTTAAATTTTTATATACTAGTTCTTGACGTTCATGTGTTTTTTAATTATTTTTGTTAATTCCGTTTCTTTTCTGCTAATTCATGCTATTTATGATATTCTTTTGTTCTTGTATCTCGCTCTTGGTTTCTTTTTAATTAATATAAATTAAAAGTAAATATATATGTAAATTTGTGCCTGAATTTATTTTTTCTTCGGGATACACTTGAAAAAGAGGAATCTGAATATGGTTGGACCAAATGTTGTGTGTGTGATTTTGGTGTTGGAATCACACCTAAGAATGACGTCATAATTGCCCGTGTGGTATGTCATATCTATTAGATGAGATTTTCTTGTGACGCCAAAAATAATAGACGGTAATAAGATTTGGTTTTATAGAGCAATGAGTTATTAGTCACTGTAAAAAAAAAGTAAAATTACGAAAGTGTTACATTACATGATAGCTCCATAGCAAAACTATTCTCAATTACAAAAATTTTATGGAGTCATCCACCACTGAATGTATTGACAACTGTCTAAAGTGTATTTATTATAAGACACGTGTCAATATACTATTAGTGAATAAGTGTGGATGACTCCATGAAGCGAGCCATCCGATAACTCCACAGCAAAATTATTCTCAATTAATTACATGTATTGACTATTTAATAATATATAATTAGCATTATATTTTAGATAAATTCTACTTGAGCGTTTTAATGGAATGATTTCTCCATTTTTTAGCCAATCAAATGTCACCACTTATCATTCCTAAATTAGACCTCAGCACACCATATATTTCCCTTTTCATTCTCATTCTGATACATGACCGAGTTATAATTTGTTTGCCAGAATCATTGAAAAACAGTATAAATAAAAATAATCTAATAGTTTAGACAATAATGTCATAAATATCAAATTTATAATCCTTCTAATAATACATAAATAGTTTTAGTTAACTCTAAATTAATAAATTTTAGGATTTCATATAGTGTTTTGAAATTAAATATACAACAATTTATACATTTTTACATGTATAACATTTTAGCACTTGTAATAGTTTAAATTAATTAAATAAACATGTTTTATGTTCATTACCAAGTTAATTTATGTAGCGATAAATTTTGTTAAATGTTAATCCATATTATCTTTAGTTATAACTAAATTCTATTTAATATCATTTTCAAAATTGTAAGTTTTATTTTATAGTAAATTTTCTTTATAAGAATGTAGAGATGTATATTATATATTGGATTATTACTCTACACTAATACACACGTAGTTAAAATGCAATTTTTGTATATCTAAGATTAATACTAACCGTGAATATCCAATCATCCATGTAAAAAAAATTGAATCATACTGTCACGGGACTGTAGTTTTTCCTATATTTGACCGTTGTACATCTCTTTCCTCTCTGCACATTCTTATGTTATGGCAATGGTGTTGGCAGTCATGTTGTGGGATGGCCACCCATAAGGTCATACAGGATGAGTACATTGTGCAACCAATCAAAAGACAAAGGAGGAGTTGGCGGGAACGAAAACAATAAAGTGAATAAGCAGGGTGCAAATGTTAATAAGGAAATTTGTAGGTTTGTGAAGGTTAATATGGATGGCTTGCCTATTGGAAGAAAACTCGATTTGAATGCCCACAGCACCTATCAATCTCTAGCTAAGATGTTGCTCCACATGTTCTTCGAGACCCCCCTTATGAACCGTAAGCTTTCATCATTTCTTATCAATTTCGATATATCAACAAAATAAAAATGGTTGGTTCATTACAAATTGGATTTTATTTTTTCAATTTGAGAAACATACTGCAATTGAATCAGAAGAAGCAATATTGCAACCCCCGAAGCTTTTGGATGGATCGTCTGAGTTTGTTCTCACATATGAAGATAAAGAAGGAGATTGGATGCTGGTAGGTGATGTTCCTTGGAGGTACGTATTGTCACTTTACACTTCACTTCAAAAGTGAGATATCGATGATTGAGAGTAGTTTCCGAGAATTATTTATGTATTAGTACTTGAGACTTCGTAGCTTCAATGCAAAGACAGCGTAAGAAGGATATATGTTATTATCAGTGACTTAGGTTATCAAATGGTTGTATTTCTGTTCCAAAATTTCACTACAAACTACTAATGAAGATTAATAATATCCATGAGTTTCAAATATGTACTTAAGCTGATGTTATCATTTTGTTATATATATATATATATATATATTTATTTCTGCTTTGTTCAGGATGTTCCTCTGCACAGTTAAACGGCTCAGAATCATGCGAACTTCTGAAGCTAATGGACTTGGTAAGTGTTGGCTAATGGCTAGTGTATATCTTTTTACGCCTTGTCATTTATAAGCTGATTGTAATGTAAAATGTAACTATTGATTAATCAACAGCTCCCAAGTTCCAAGAAAGGGATGAGACAAGCACAAGAGGAAACTGATATAGAAAACTAAGAGGAACTTCAACTGCTATTATGAAAACGAAAACAAGAATGATACAGATGTTCAATTATTTTGTTTTCTCGCCCGTGTATCTTTTACTCTCTCTCTCTCTCTTTTCTTTTTTTTTTTTTTTTTTTTTTTTTTT